CTCAGGAGAAACAAAACCTGCTGACACCTTGATCTTGGACTTCCAGACTCAGACTCCAGAACTGTAAGAAAATGTTTGTTGTTTATATCATCCTGTCTATGGTATTTTGCTACAGCAATCCTAGCAAATACACATTGATAGCCTGATTTTTCTCAACCTAAGTGAGAAGACACAACCCCATAAGCACAAACCAGGCAATACTTAAGATACTCAATTCTACCAGAGTTAATAATTAAATAAATGATTAACCTGTATAATACAGGCACCAATCGAATCAGAACCAATGCCAGCCATGAATAACCGAAGCCAGTCACATGGGAGTGCCCCAGCTGAATAGCCACACTGCTTGTGACTGGAGCTAACAATATTGCTCAGGACCCAGGAAATTTACCTTAAAATGGAGCTTACATCACCTCATTAATTAAATTAATAAGCATTTATCAAGCAGTTTCTATGTACCAGGTATTGAGCATATAAAGGGTTCCATCCCAAGCACCTTGCTCTCTGCCTCCTCTGTGCTTCTGTCCTTTTCAGTCTGCCTAGCAGAATATGTGAGTGTAAAACATTAAATCTTAAGTCAGAAAACCTGGCTTTATAGTCCCGTTTCATTCTCTCTTAGCTTAAATGACTCCAGCTTCCAGAGTCTCAGTTTCCATATCTGTAAAATATAGTCTTGGCTTCCCTGTCCATCTCATAGGAGGTTCAGGAAAAAAAAAAAGAAAACAGATATGAAGGTGAGGTGCTTTATTAACTGTGAGCAAGTTAAAATATTATCATTACTTTTTGCATTTTTCTGCCTATTGACCTACTCAAGACAGAGCTAAAATCCAAGTTACCTGTGCACAATAATATAATAATTTTTCTTTATATTTTAAAAGTTTTCTCCAAGCCGGGTTCGGTGGCTCAGCCTGTAATCCCGTGCCTTTGGGAGGCTGAGGTGAGTGGATTGCCTGAGCCCGAGGGGTTCGAGACCCGCCTGGGCAGCGAGACCTCATCTCTACAATAAATCAAAAAATCAGCCGGGCGTGGTAGCACATGCTTATAATTCCGGCTACTTGGAAGGCTGAGGCGGAAGGATCACCGGAGCCCAGTAGGTCGAGGCTGCGGTGGCCAGGAGTGGCCACTGCACTCCAGTCTGGGTGACAGAGTGAGACTCCAACTCAAAAAAAATAAAATATAAAGTTTTCTCTGGCTGCTCTGGCTAGAAGTGATCTCATCTTTCCTTGAACTTGTATTACATTGTTTAAGTCATTTATTATGAAGCATGTACCATATTATGAATTTCTAGAATTGACATTTTTCCATGTACTAAAATATTACTAGTGTTGATTTTTTTTTCCTGTTTTTTTTTAGAGACAAGGTCTTATTCTGCTGCTCAGTCTGGAGTGCACTCATAGATCACTAACCTCAAACTCCTGGGCTCAAGCAATCTTCCTGCCTCAGCCTCCTAAGTAGCTAGAACTACAGTCCTACCATCATGACTAGCTAATTTAAAAAAAAACATATTTGTGGAGGTGGGGGAGGGAGTGTCTCGCAGTGTTGCTCCGACTAGCCATGAAATCTTGCCCTCAAGCGATCCTTCTGCCTTGACCTCCCAAAGGGCTAGGATTACAGGCATGAGCCACCTCACCTAGCCTATTTTATACTGTCAATATTTATATTATTATGTCTCCCTGACCAGAGCGTAAGCTTCTTAAGGAGTGTCCTTCACAAAGAGTAGATATTTGACAAATATTTTTAGGGCAGTTTTTGAAATGTATGTGTAACCAGAATGCAAATAATGAAACCTACTCCAACCTCAGAGCGAAAGCGTGAGCATCTGTATGCCAGAAACAGCAGAAAGAGTAGCAGGATGGCCTCCCCCTATGAAACTACAATCTCTTTCCCATTTTGTATGTGGAAGTTCCTTAGGTCTTTGTCTGTTGGGGACTCTTATCTGGAGACCTAACTGGTAGAAGAATACTAGCTTCTAAGTAGAAGTCAGCCAAGGTGAAATGCATCTAAAAAATAAGGACCTAGGTGAGGAGGCCTCCAACTCCTGTAGGACTCAACTGTTGTAGCAGCCACAAATGCTGGGACAACAGCAGTTCCTTTGTAATCAACTATTTGGGGCTGCTGCACTTTCTTCAGTGTTATGCTTAGTGAAGAGGCTACTAGCCAGACTGGTCATAGTCCTCAGTTTATCGTTTCTTTTTTCAATTCCCTGTTGCTTCCTATATGTTAGTAAGTCATGGCCAGGCTCACACCTTTAATCCCAGCACTCTGGGAGGCCAAGGTGGAAGGATTGTTTGCGTCAGTCGTTCAAGACCAGCTTGGGCAACATAGCAAGACCTCGTCTCTACCAAAAATAAAAAAATTAGCCAGGCATGGTGGCAGGCACCTGTAATCCCAGCTACTCTGGGAGGCTGAGGTGGGAAGATTGCTTCAGCTCAAGAATTTGAAGCTGTTGTGAGCCCCAATTGTGTCACTGCACTCCAGCCTGGGCAACAGTGAGACCCTGACTCAAAAATAACAATAATAAATCAAGGAAGTCACAATTTGGGCTGACTTGAGGAAAACTCCCAGGTGTGGTTCAGGCTCCCATAAAGACCATAGGAGACTGCTGGTGGGAGGAGGCATTGCCCCTTTGCTGGGGGCAAAGTTGAGACAAGCCTAAAGACTGTTCCACGTGTCAAGTAAGGTAATTAAAATATCCTTGTATTTGATTATTTCAACAAACTCTTGCATATATATGTTAAAGCAGTGGTTTCTTACCTTTTGGCATTAGGTACTGGTTTCTCCTAGAAGATAATTTTTCCACAGGCAGGCAGAAGTGAGGGGTGGGGGGTGGGGTGGGAGGATGATCAGGCATTCGATTTTCATACAGAGTGTGCAACCTAGATCTCTTGCATGCACAGTTCCCGGTAGAGTTCACGCTCCTATGAGAATCTAATGCAGCTGCTGATCTGACAGGTGAAGCCCTGCTCACCTGCTGCTCACCTCCGGCTATTTGGCCTGGGCCTGGGACCCCTGGTACAGTTGAAGTACATCAACTCACTTGCCACTCACTGATAGGGTTTTGATATCAGTCTGCAAGCAACTGATTTATTATGGTCTCTGTGCAGTCAAACCTCACTGCTAATGTTAACCTGCATTTGCAACTGCTCCCCAGCACTAACATCACTACCTCTGCTCCACCTCAGATCATCAGGCATTAGATTATCATAAGGAGTGAGCAACCTAGATCCCTTACATGCATAGTTTACAATAGGGTTCGCACTCCTGATAAATTTTTTTTTTTTTGAGTCAGTCTCCCTCTGTTGCCCAGGTTGGCGTGCTGTGGCACACCATGATCACTGCAACCTCAACCAGATGCGCTCAGGCGATCCTTCCGCCCTAGCCTTCCAAGTAGCTGGAACTACAGGCATGTGCTGCCTGTAGTTAATTTTTTAATTTATTGTAGAGATGAGGTCTCGCCATCTTCCCAGGCAGTCTAGAACCCGTGGGCTCAGACAATCCTTTCGCCTCAGCCTCCCATACTTCTGGGATTACAGGCATGAGCTACAGTGCCCAGCTTCCTATAAGAATCTAAGACCCCTGCTGATATGACAGAAGAGGGAGCTCAAGCAGTAATACCAGCAGTGGGGAGGTGCTGTAAATACAGATAAAGTTTTGTTGGCTCACTCTATCCTCACCTCCTTCTACGTGGCCTGGTTCCTAACATGCTACAGTACTAGTCTGTGGGTTGTTGGGGACTTCAGTGTAAGGGTTTAGTGGTCATAAAACGGAGTAAAGGCCAGGTGCAGTGGCTTGTGCCTGTAGTCCCAGCCGCTACTCAGGAGGCTAAGGCAGGAGGATTGCTTGAGCCAGAGTTCAAGTCCAGCCTGGGCAACATAGCAACTCTTTCTTTAAAAAAATTTTTTGGGACAGACATAGTGGTTCACACCTATAATCGCGGCACTTTTGGGAGTTGGGGGGGGGGAGGACTGCTTGAGTCGAGGAGTTCAAGATCAGCCAGGGCAACACAGACCTTCCTTCTCTCTTCAAAACAAAACAAAACAAAACAAAAAAAACCCCACTAAAATTAGCGGGCATGGTGGCAGTCTGTAGTCCCAGATACTCAGGAGGCTGAGGCCAAAGGATTGCCTGAATCCAAAATGTCGAGGCTACAGTAACCCTTGCCGAGCCACTGTCCTCCAGCCTGGGCGAGAGTGAGCCCCCAACATCTCCTCCTGGTACATTGTTACTCTGACTTTTTTTTTTTTTTTTTGAGTTGGAGCCTCACTCTGTCGCCCAGGCTGGAGTGCAGTGGCACATTTATGGACACCGCTGCCTCGACCTGCTAGGCTCCGGCGATCCTTCCGCCTCAGCCTTCCAAGCAGCTGGAACCCCTGGGGCGAGCCACCTCCTACGGCTAATTTTTTGATTTATTGTAGAGATGAGGTCTCACCACGTTGCCCAGGCTGGTCTGGAACCCCTGGGCTCAGGCAATCCTCTCGCCTCCGCCTCCCAAAGTGCTGGGATTACAGACTGAGCGACCGTGCCCGGCCTACCCTGACTTCTTAAAGACACTTCTTCGATTAGAGTGGCTAACGTCGCCTAACCCATCTCCCACTGCTCGGAACAACCCAAGCTTCCGCACTCTCTTACTGCCCCCGCCTTAAAATGCTTAAGCCACGCCCCGCATGTACTGGAGCTAAGTTCGGGCCAGTAAAGTTGCGCCCCAAGGATCACAGGACTAGGAACGAGAAGGTACCAGCCAATGGGAAACCACTTACAACGCAAAGCCGGAGAAAAGTCTTTTAGTGGTGGCCGTCTTTGGACCAATAAGGAGCAGAGCGGCCGAGGCCGTGCAGCTTCCTGAAACACATGACCAGTGAGAAGCAGCCTAGCCCCACCTCCTGGCCTGGAGGTAGCGCGATGGGCCACGCTTCCAATGGCTTGCGGAACCTCTGGTCACGTGCCGATTTTGCAAGCCCAGCGGCATCTGGCAGATCATGTGACAGCTGACGTTCGTGCGTCGTTCCCCAGTGGAAAAGGAGAGCTGCCTTCACTGGACCACGAATCGGTTTATCGCCACGAATAACAGCATGGCGGGGGCGGGGATAGCCTATCACGTGCTGCGGGACACAACGGGGCGGGGCGGGCCACTGGTTGCGGAGTGAGCTGGGCGCGCGGCGCGCAGGCGCCCTGGGGACCCGGTAGCGGTGGCGGCGGCGACGGTGGCTGCGGCGGCGGCAGCGGTGAAAGGAGCCGGATCGCTGGCCCGAGCGGGAGGCGGAGGTGGCAGCCATGGCGGCAGATGGAGAGCGTTCCCCGCTGCTGTCAGAGCCCGTCGACGGTGGCGCCGGCGGCAACGGTTTAGTGGGGCCGGGCGGGAG